ATCCCCCAAACCCAACCATGTCATCAACATTCCCATTTGGGTCTTGATTTCCAATAACAAGAACTTGAACCATTCCCAAGCAACCGGGAGAAGACGTTCAAGAGTCCCCATGGGGGTCTGAGTGTTCAGCGTCCACACGTGAGACACTGTCGGTAAGAGAAAGTTTCATAACGGACGTCTTCTTTTTCAGCAGAAAGGGTCTGAGGCCGCATAGACTGCAAGGAGAAGTTCATCTCTCCAAGGACAAGACGTGGAGTAAACGCTAAGATGACGCACAGAACATTGCATTGGGGGCTGAGTTTCCCGGCAGGTGAGACAAAAGGAAACTCCACTGGGTCAGGCACCATCCTCACTATTTCACTGATGGCAAGGGATCTGCTTTCCAGAACAGATCACCTCCCCCCAGGATTCGATCCTCAGTGCTAAACGGGACGCCCAACCAGAAACGCGCAGGGACGTTACAGAGGTCTCTAGCTGAGTGGGTCCCTTGAACTCTTCCCCCGGAAATTCAGCAGACCCGAGGGCTGCTAGTCCTTCCCTGGCATTCTCAAGAGAAGGCCATTCAAAGACAGGTGGGAGGTGGGGTGGGCCAGACAACTTAGAGAGCGACCCGCTCCAGAACAGGTGCTCTTCAGGCGCCATCATTTTCGCTTGGTTGGAGAGGGGGTTTGTAAGTCTCCTATACCATCCCCCAAGGCAAAGGAACATGGGGTAACACCCCCCCCACACACACACACACAGGTGTGTATACACATACGCAGAGTATGATTTAGGCTGACACAGAACTTGCTGGCCACAGTCAGGATACTTGTAGCTCATGGCCAAGTTCCTCCTGGATAGACGGGAGGGTCTATGGGGACATGTGGCTGAGCGACTTCTAGGAGAAAAGCCAGCATCTGGGTTACCTTTGAGGACAGCCGGGTGTGGGCGCCTTCTGGAAGGAATCCTATTCTGGCCACTGTGCCCAGAATCCTAGCTCCATTTCCCAAGACGTAGGACTCGCCCGCCCCCAAGACTCAAGCTCGGACCCCGAGCCCGCTGCAGGCACTGAGAGGAGGGGATAAGGAGGGGCGATGCACCCGTACCTTTTTACAGTCCTCGCACACGACACAGGCCGAGCCCAGCATCCCCAGCTGTTCTCCGCACAGGATGCAGCGGTCCACCCCATCCCCAGCCACGTTCTTCCTCATGGTCTCTAGGTGGTCCACCAGGCGCCTGGAAGCAGAGACAGGGTGATAAGGACCTCGTAGAATGGGGACCGTGCACGTTTCCTTTGGGACCAGAGGGTCTTTGTGGTCTTTGAGTCATGGCCTCTTGAGCATCCGGTGATGGCTGTGGCCTCTTCCCCCCAGTTTCAGAACGTCACAGCTCCCTCCCATACTCCTCAGTGCCCATCCGGTCACTCGGCTCTGATTAAGAGCCGTCTCTGGCCTTTCTATCTCTCATCGCCTCCTCCAGGGAAGCAGTCTAATCTGTCATCTACTCATTTACATGGTGTCTTTTCTTGGTTGTCTTTGCAGGCAGCTGAAGTTCATGGTTTCCAGTTGAAGTCTGTCTTGATTCCGCTTCATGCCCAAGTCAGTGGATGATAAAGAACTGACCATAGCATTTACCAACTAGCTCATGCCAGAAATCTGGGCGCCTCCTGGACTCCTTATCCTGACATTCAACGTTTCAGCCACACTACCGAGTTCCACTGCGTCCATCTCCCCCACGTCTCTACAATCCAACCAACTCTCTTCACCTCCACCCAACTGCACCACCGTCCCCTCTCTCCTGACCCTAGGGGTCTCTGACTTCCTTCGG